GGCAGGAGCCCAGTTCTTCTTGCCTGTACAGTGGTGCCTCGCAAGACGAAAAGAATCCGTTCCGCGAGTCTCTTCGTCTTGCAGTTTTTTCGTCTTGCGAAGCAAGCCCATTAGCGGTTTAGCGGATTAGCGCTATTAGCGGCTTAGCAGGCTTAGCGGATCAGCTGATAAGCGGCTTAGTGGCTTAACGGATCAGCTGTTAAGCGGCTTAGCGGATCAGCTGATAAGCGGCTTAGTGGCTTAACAGATCAGCTGTTAAGCGGCTTAGCGGATCAGCTGATAAGCGGCTTAGCGATCAGCTGTTAAGCGGCTTAGCGGCTTAGTGGATCAGCTGATAAGCGGCTTAGCGGCTTGGGAAAAAAGGGGGGGAGGAAAAAACCCCCGCAGGAACTCGCAAGACATTTTCGTCTTGCGAAGCAATCCCATAGGAAATTCGTTTTGCGAAGCACCTCCAAAACGGAAAACCCTTTCGTCTAGCGGGTTTTCCGTCTTGTGAGGCATTCGTCTTGCGGGGCACCACTGTATTTCCTTCTGTTTCTTGCCCATCTATTGTGCCAAGGCCCCAGGAAATCCTATCCATTAACCGGCACCAGATTCTCCCTAGGACTATTTAGCTACATAAACTTTGCTTCAGTTACAAAGGTAAGAAATTGACTGAACCATCCGGTGAGGATAAGGAAACTGCTAAACTCTTTTCTGTTGCCTGGAAGAAGTGGAACAAGATGCTACCTGCTCTCCCATTCCACAAGCTTGAAAGCGTGAGTGCATTTAGTGGCGTCTCCAGTGCCTCTTGTCCTCCACTCTGCTGTTCCCTGCACATTGCACAATAAAGAATGAGTGCTAGATGTACAGGCGAGCGGCCAGAAAACCTGGCCAGTTTTTGAGAAAGCAACTTAAAAACCTCTGTGCTGACTTTATTGATTCGGATGTGTAATATACTCCACTGTAATCTCTCCCTTCCCTGCACTTCTTGCACAGAAGGATGCATAAAATTCTCCTCTCAGTCACCCACAAGACGAAGAAAAATATATATATTCCCCTTTCACATTTATGAGTTACTTGTAAAAAAAGTAATTTCGGGATTCATTTTCTTAAGGTCAGACAAGCTCCATTCTTCATTGTTGAGGGACAGGGGTAGGTGGGGGGGGAGTGAACAGACAAATCTCTGACATTTAACAGTAAAAGCCCAAAATTTAAACTGTTATTACTCTAAAGTTTGCCTTGGAAATTAAAGTTGTTCCCCTCACTATTCCGCCTGTTTCTGAGCCCCCAGTTAGAATGGGGCTGAAAGTGCTCCTTGAATCTGCTTTCTGAGCAGGAGGCAGCAGGTGGAGAAGGAGGAGAATGAGAGACACAGTGTGAATATAGACATTGTGAGGATAGAACTGGATGCGAGGAAGCTGCTTGCATGAAAGGAGGGTCTCTGGGGCCCTATAGTTCCTCCTGAGGTGGTTTCCTACTTGAAAGTCAAGCAGATCAGTGTGTGGAGATGGGGAACAAACAGGTGGCATAGTTCAGGATGTAATCAGCAGGAGTGGGCAGCAGCAGCAGAAGAAGAAGAAGAGTTTGGATTTGATATCCCGCCTTTCACTCCCTTTAAGGAGTCTCAAAGCGGCTAACATTCTCCTTTCCCTTCCTCCCCCACAACAAACACTCTGTGAGGTGAGTGGGGCTGAGAGACTTCAAGGAAGTGTGACTGGCCCAAGGTCACCCAGCAGCTGCATGTGGAGGAGCGGGGAAGCAAACCCGGTTCCCCAGATTACAAGACTACCGCTCTCAACCACTACACCACACTGGCTCTCAATTCTGGAGGACTCCAGTGTGTGCATCCTTGTGCTGTGACAAGGAGGGTGGTAATAGGAACCGGTTCACACATGCACATACATCACACAATTCACAATCCCTTGATAACTAACAGCTTTCTAAAGGCATGACCTGATTCCACTGAAAAATGCTGAACCCAGTCCTGCTAAAATCAGGGTCAAATTATATTCTACATTAAATATGTTGCATGTGGCATTGTCAGCAACATAGTAATTATGTAAACCCCCCCTCCCCAAAATTAATACTGGGGGGGGTGTCCACATTGCATAGGCGAGGAGGTTTCAAATCCCTCCTGCGACAATTTTCCCTATGAATAATATCTCCCAATGAAAACCAGGGCCACTGTACTCAGTATTTTTTTGAAAACAACTTCTGATGATGTCGCAAGCTATATATTTAACATAGTGTTGAGTTACGCCATCGCCATTGGTTGCACTTGAATCTCACCAAAATATATTGAGCACATAAGTTGCAAGTAAAGCCACAGCAAATATTTGAAAGTATTGAACATTTAGTGGAATTTTGAAGAAAATTTTCAATTTGTATTTCAAATGTCAATTTTCTAACCCGATATTTGAAATTGGAAGGCGTTAGACTTGATTATCATTTCCTTAGAACTGATTGATAGTATTTTGTGATTGTGTTGATTTTGGCAAGCTTCAGTTGCTATGGGCACAATCCTATCAATAGTTAGGTGCGCAGAAAACAATGGGTTGCAGTGTGATTTAGAGCCCCAGTAATGTAGGACTCTAAATCCTGCAGGAAGCCTTTTTCTGCAGAACAGGCTCTCTTGCCTCAGAACTTCACCCTGTAATGCAAGGAGGATCAAAAGTCTATGCAACAGGGATGCAATTTAATACGGAGAAGCTGGAGTCCTGCTCTCACTCTCATCCAAGACTTGAGCACCCAAAGAAAGCTATAGCAGTTGAGAGGTCTGCCCTCCATAAGTAGCCGATTCCTTACAATTTAAGTAGCAAAGGCTTCTGATCTCTTCATCAACCATACTTCATCATTTGCCCACAGAGAAACAGTCTCGGTGTACAGTACATTGAGAATCTTCAATTTCATTTGCAGTGGTACCTCAGGTTACATATGCTTCAGGTTACAGACACTTCAGGTAACAGACTCCGCTAACCCAGAAATAGTACCTTGGGTTAAGAACTTTGCTTCAGGGTGAGAACAGAAATCGAGCAGTGGTGGCACGGCAGCAGCGGGAGACACCATTAGCTAAAGTGGTACCTCAGGTTAAGAACAGTTTCAGGTTAAGAACGGACCTCCAGCATGAATTAAGTTCTTAAGCTGAGGTACCACTGTATTTTGTACATTGTAGAGAAAATTATGAACACACTTGCAGGCACTTGGAGACAATGTACCCTTATGAAATGGTGACAGTAGTTCTGTGGAGATGACTAAATGTGGAGAATGATCAATATGTGGATGGTGGATAGGCCCATCTGTCATTGCGTGAGTCATGTCCTGCATGGAAGAGCACAGGTGTAGTGGAAAATGCTCAAGAAAAATTGAGGAGGTGTTGGTTTGGCCTTGCACAGCCAACCCTTCCTGTGAGTCCTTTCAGGAGCACTCCTGCCCTTGAGGGTGGCCCAGCTGGGGCAGGATTGCCCAGATTAGGAACCCTAATCACCACGGGTGGCAGCCATGGAGACATCTAGCCCTGCATGGTTGGGACAGGTACAAATTCAGGGTGACTGTAGTCGGAGAGGATCAAGGATGATAGGCCAAATGCTGTTGAGGCTCCCTATGGCTGGATCTGGTGCTGTGAAGGACTGGTGAGGAAATTGTTTCTTTGGGGTTATTTATCGGTATAAGTAAAGGTAAAGGTACCCCCTGCCCGTACGGGCCAGTCTTGACAGACTCTAGGGTTGTGCGCTCATCTCACTCTAGAGGCCGGGAGCCGGCGCCGTCCGCAGACACTTCCGGGTCACATGGCCCGTGTGACATCGCTGCTCTGGCGAGCCAGCACACGGAACGCCGTTTACCTTCCCGCTATAACGCGGTACCTATTTATCTATTTATCTATCGGTATAAGAGGGGTTTTTTAATTGCTGTTTAAGGTTTACTGTTTGAGAGGTTTTCCTATTCTGTTCAGATAAAAATCTTTTCCCTCATGTATTGTCTACCAAAGATCCTTTAAAGAACCTGCCGTGTTAATCAGCAAAACAACAGGCCAGCATGTATGGAATCCACAACTGTTAGGCACCTTTCAGTCCCATTGAAATCAATGGAACTTAAGTTACCCAGGACTAACTTGCCTCATTAATTTCAACTGAACTAAAACATAGCTAACTTTCTCTGCATCCCACCCATCCAAAAATAAAATGGAATAAAAAACACAATTCGGCACACGGTGATCAGTCTGGCAGATCCAGTGGTGAGATTTTGCTCCCACATGTTGATTATCCCTCGATTTAATCATCTCCACAGGGTGAGCAATTACAAAAAGTGAATGAATCATGCATGTTCCAATTGGGATGCAGAGCTAAAATAGAAAGAAAATGGTAATAGAAAGCATAGCATACATTAGAAGCAGAAATAGTAAGATAGGGAAAACACGGACCTCTAATTGCTGTCTTTCCCCTATACAGTTGCATTGAGATCCACTATAAAAAGTACATGTAATCAATATAAGGGCAACTATAAATGGTGCTACACATGGCAGGCACCCTGCAATTTAATTCTGTCTTTATTATTACTGCTTGGTCCCAGTTATATATTCATAGCATGCATAATGAATGAATGCATTTAAGGCTCGGCCAAAAAGTCGTTTCATTTTTGACAGCTTCCCAACTAACTCGTGCTTCTTAAACATGAATTTAAATACAACTTTGCTAATAAATTTCCCCATCAAAACTGTAGATCAGATAAAATTCTAAGTATGGAAAAGAAAGGGGGGGAATTGCTAAAGAGGGACTTTAAAACACTATAATAAAAATATCAGGGATGCAATCCAGGAGTTGAAGCAGTGAAAGTATGCAAACAAATGTTGAGTCCAGCTGAACTCTGGCCAGTTGTGCCATAATGGCATGAACAAATACCATTTAAACAGCATATCCTATAGATATCTACTTGCAATGAGGCCCCATCTGCACTGTAAATTTAAAACAGCACCATACTACTTAGAACAGCCATTGTTTTCCCCAAAGAATCGTGGGAACTGTAGTTTAAGGGTGCTGGGATTTGTTAGACCTTCATTCTCCTTCCTGAGCTACCATTCCCAGAGTTCCATGGGAAGAGGGATTGCTTGTTAAACCACTCTAGGAATAGGGCCTCAGCACTTTTAACAAGCTCTAGTTCCCAATATCCTTTGGGGGAGTGTTTAAAGTGGTATATTTACAGCCATTCTTATCTCAGTTATGCTTTCTTCTTAAAATCAGACCTTCGTGTTCAATGCAGAAAGGCAGAGAGAGGAGGGTCAGCATACACAGGAATGCTGGGGGTGTGGCTAGCAGCCCTGTGCATGCGCCCTCATCCCCCAGATCCCTCATGCATTCTCTTGAATTTCTGAAGTGGGCTTCAGTCTCTGTCCAGTCTCCAAATTGCTACTTCTTGCACACTTACTGTGCCATAGACTAAGATCTGTCCCAACCCTGCTGGTGAATTGCCCATTCAGGGAAACATAGTCATTTCCAAAGATTAACATTCCTTTGCCAAAGCCCCAACTGCTCAGTCACGCAGATCAAACCAGTAAGCTCATAAGAATACGTAGAGATAACATCAGGGGGGAAAGTGGGGGTTTGGTTTTGTGTTTTTTGCTCTTACGTTTGTACTGCATCCCATTTGTGAGTTGTTGTGGTGTTGTTTTTTTAACTTTAAAACCAGCAGTCTTTTGATTTTTAGTATTATGTTTCAACTTCTGTGAACAAAACATTTTAAATATCACAAATAATATCTATCTGTATCTATACTCACTTTTTGTATGTTCATGCATGAACTGGGTGCCAGTCTTCTTGGCTCCAGATCGGGCAACTGCCGTGCATTATAGATGGAGCAACTGTTGAAAATGGTCCAGAAACTCCAATTAGCTCTGAATATATCTGAAAGACTGCTAGGCTCACCTGGGTATTATCAATTCATTACTTGAGCACTGGCTTTTGAGCACTGGCTTTTGATCAATTTCTGGGCCTAATTCAAAGTGCTAAAGCCCCTTATGGATTGGGACCAGTTTAGATCAAGTCTTGCCTGCTTCTGCATGTACCTTACTAGGCTCTGAAATCAGAGGCTTATCTCTGTGTGGCCGTCCCAAGTGAGGTACAGCAGGCGACAGTGGGAGATGGTTGGCTGCATTGGGATGTAAAACTAAATCATGTAACAACAAGCCCACTGGGTAAACTATGGTTTGAAACTGGCTGCTTTCAACAAATCATGGTGAAGTGTAGCCACTGTTTGTCCAGGTTCAGATGTCACAAGAAGCTGCAGTTAATCCGAAATGGAAGCAAGAGATTCTGAACTCCTCCTCGCGGTCATGTCAGAGGAAGAGGCAGAGGGAAGAAGGCTCACTGTGGCTCATTCTTGTAACACCCTGGTTAAGCGCTGTGTCCAAAAAAGGGGTCAATATTAGTTACGAATGATATATTACAAGTGTTTGATAATAATAGGCTATTAATTGGTTCTTGAATGCATAATTGGAGTAAGTCATCCTCTTTCTTAGTTCTATAAATTGGGGCTTTAAACAGAAAATTGTTATTGACAATCAGTCCAGCTGATTTGATCAGTCAGTTTATCAACTGCTGATCAGAGAAACCTTGAGAGAGGCTGGAAATTTATGGGTTTTTGAGGGTCAGAAAATCCCTGTATTGCTAAAAATAGAAATATGCCTTGGGCTGCACAAATAACAACCCTACTATGCTTCACACCAAGAGAGAGAGAAAGAGAGAGTTAAGATTGCAGGGAGAGGGGATAGAAGAGGCAAATGGAAATGTTTGGAGGCTGTGTGAAAAGCTGCTCCATCTAGTTCACTATTGCCTACACTGACTGGCAGAGGCTCTCCAGGGCTGCAAGCAAGAGTTGTTCCCAATCCCAATCAGGGACTGAACCTGAGACATTTTGCATGCAAGGCATGTGCTTTACCACTGAGAAATTACACTGAAGAAATCAATAACATTTTTTAGAAAGAAAGAAATTACACTGAAAACCCAGCTGAAGATGCGGAGAGCCTTGTCTGATAGCAAATATACTGCATTTCCCCTGTTGAGAAACGGGTGAGCTTCACTCACCAGTGGTCAGTCAGTTTCAATGCAAATATGGGAAGTTCCTACTTGGAAGAAAGATCTGGCAAATCTTGATGGGACTATTTTTCACAGCTGCCCGAAGCGACACATAGAGGGCTTTCCTTGAGAGAAACAACCAGGGAACTTTGAAGTGAGGAAAAAGAGTTTCAAAAAGAGCAGCAAATGTTTAAAGGAGGAGGGGCTGAACATGACCCTCACATAAGGAAGATGTATGCAACCCCATTAGAAATCTGTGCAATGCCTAAAGCTGGCCAAAAGGTGGTGGGCAAAACCACCCCTGTGCCTCATTTTATTCATAAAATATAAGCCCTAGTTCTTATTTCATATATCTTTCTTTGGTTTTTCCTCCTTTTCCTCCCTGAGTGCAGCCCAACTTCATTAAAATCCATGAGAATTTTGCTATTGATTTCAAAGAAAGATGAAACGCACCCCATGCTTCTCAATCTCCCCTTCATTCCGTATTACCTCACCAACCCTTGTTATCGCCTTTCCTTTAGTCGTGGAAAGATTTCCTGCTCAGTAACATATAGATAAGATTGCAAAGACTCAGCAGCAGCAGCAGCTACCCGACTTGTTGACTGACCTATCTGTCTGCTTCCTATTATGTAAGATGCAGTTCTGAGATGTCTTACTGCATTATTGTATTGATGAAGACTTTGTAGTTCCTGGTTTCCTGGAGTCTTGTAAAGCATAAGATATTCAGATCTTTCATGTACCTTTGAAAGAGGCAGAACTTCCCTCCCTTAGCTTCAGGAGGGTCCAACAACTGCATGTAAAAGGATGTGCTTTTTCACGAGCAGAATATAACAAGCTCCATTAGCGCTTGAGTGTAATTGAGTAAGTAAGGAAGACGAAGAATTCTCAAACTTGGTGACCCCTAAGTTATAAGAGAAAAAGAACAACTTTCTTCATATAGTTATGTGCACCACAGTCTCTGAGAGGTGAGACACCCCACGGGTTCCAGCACAAACTTTGGGTTTAGTTTACTGAAGTGAAGATAACAGGAAAATGGTGGCTTCTTCTGTGATATAAGGTAAAGTATATTTATACACAGAGATAAAGAAGGAGAGGCTAAGATGGAAAGCTCAGAGCATTAACATGCCACATTAGGTTTCTGGGAAGGGGGCCAAAGCCATATCTTTGGGTTCTCGCAGAGAGTAAGTCAAGCTTCTATCGCTTTCTAGATACAGCCACACCCAGATGTTAATGACATCACCCTCAGCCAGGGGAGGGAAAAAGAAAGACATGCCCCTTTCAGCTCACCTTCCAGAAGGGTCTCCAACTATTAGCTTTGGTGACAACTAATCACCAGCATTTGGCTAACTCTTTAGTTATGCAAAGTCCCATTCTCCCAAGATACTGGGGACATGAAATATGAACAGAAAAACCAAATATATCTAAACCACATTTTAAAAAGAAAGACAGGAAAGAGCAGTGAGGCACCATTCATCTCTAGACTCAGTAATAATAATACTTTTATTATTTATACCCTGCCCATCTGGCTGGGTTTCCCCAGCCACTCTGGGGCAGCTTACAGCACATAAAAAAATATTAAACATTAAACATTAAAAATTTCCCGATACAGGGCTGCCTTCAGATGTCTTCTAAAAGTCAGATCGTTGTTTATTTCCTTGACAACTGAAGGAGGGTGTTACACAAGGCAGGCGCCACTACCAAGAAAGCCCTCGGAGCTGAACCTCAGCGCCTGGGCTGAATGATGGGGGTGGAGACGCTCCTTCAGGTACACTGGGCCGAGGCTGTTTAGGGCTTTAAAGGTCAGCACCAACACTTTGAATTGTGCTCGGAAATGTACTGGGAGCCAATGTAGGTCTTTCAGGACCGGGGTTATATGGTCTTGGCAGCCACTCCCAGTCACCAGTCTAGCTGCTGCATTCTGGATTAGTAGCTGCTGTTGTGCAAGTTTAACTCTCAGACCACAGATTAGAGACAATTTGGCTATTGGTAGGATTGAAGATAGTTCAGGGAGTGTGGACAGTATTCAAACCAAGGTTTAAAGACCAACAAGAAGTTGAAATGGAAAGTAAGTAGAGCACATGTCGTAGTGGAAGTGCCATCTCACTCTGCCGACAGTGGAGAAGTGGCATGGGCATTTTCACCAATTTCTGGCGAGATTTTGCAAATTGGAGCCTCTGTAGCTTTTCCACCAGTGGTGGAGGCAGCAGGGCAGGTGGCGCGCCTGTGGGGATGCCACCTTACAGGTTTTCATCACCTGAAACAGCTGCTTCACCCTGCTTCATGTGTGAACCGACCCTGGCATTGTGTTCAATGCAGCCCTAATGCTCCCCCACCTTCCCACCCCCTTTTTAAGGAAAGTCACCATGCCTTGGGCATGCATATTAACTAGGCCCATTTTTTTTCAACAATAGTTACAGCAGGATGGTTTTGACAATATCCCCTGCGCTCTCGCGCTCTCTCTCTCTCTATCTCTCTCTCCAGTTTAACATCAGAGTGCCTAACTCATTTAAGATCTCTTCCATGACCTGGAGTTTGCCATTTCCCAGAGCAGAGAAGAGGAGCTGTGGAAGTTCATGTGTCTTTCTGGCTCTGATTTTATACCTATCCCTCGAGCAGACTGCTATTATTGGGGTAGGGGGGTGTCCTGGGATTTGGGTCTGGTATCCAATCCAAAGCGAATCCTAAGGGGTAAATGGACTTGCAGAGTTTGCCAGCATGGACTGCGTTTTCATGGCAATCTGCCTTGATGGTAAGAGTGCTTATACAGTAAGTTCTTTTTTCGGCTCAGAGTCCGGAGTGTATTATTATACAGCATTGGCTGAATCCATCTTAGTTATGTCCCCATTATTGTTATGCTCTATGGAAACAAATAATGCAAAGTCAAGGCAATTCGCATTCTGTATTTAACATCATTCCTGGTAGTGGTCTTTTATCTCTGAAATCGCTCTTCACGGTAGCTGTCTTTGGCAGTCAAGACAGACAGATGGCTCAGCAGAGAACTTGCCAATCAGGATAGGAAACAATAGGAGGGATGGAGAGAGAGAGAAAGAAGAATGGAAATCCTCTAAGGATGCGTCAACATTACAAGGGCACTATTAATTAAAGGTGGAAAACAACACAATTGCTTACACTGAGCACTGGAAGGAGAGAACGGTCTACTGTAAACGAGAGACCGGAAAACAGATTAGTATGCCAAAAAAAGTATGCCAAACTGTTACTCTAATTAGCATAATTTCAAGTGTGAGACAAGTAGCGGTCATATCTATTATTATTATTTTGTTGTAAATCTTTTCATGGCACAACATTTGAGCTGAAAATGCTCACTTCTCTAACTGCATGAATGTGAAAAAGGCTATTTATCACCATAAGAGATACAGTACACATTGACATTTGGGGGAGGGGAACGTGTGTTTTCTTAAAGGTTAATTGTGTTATTAAACACTTCAAATGTGCTAATTTACTAGGCTGTTAAACACGGATGCTGTATAAGGAAAATAAAATAAATAAATGAGGGGGAGTTCCCATGCCATCTTGCATCCTCCTCCTAATAGAGAAGAACCATAAAAACTCAACTTGATGGCATAGTCTATTTAGGGGGCTTTTGTCTTGCGCTTTGAAAAGAACCATCAGTTTGCCAATTTTAATGTCTTGTTGTGTTTTTATGATCACATTGTAGGTGAAAAGCAGGACTGATCCATTCATTTCTGAATTGGGAGGAAGTGAAATAGACCTGAGCCTTTGTGATGCCCCAAATGATGTGAGGTATGAATCTGGCATTTCCCAATCTCAGTCATCCTTGACCCGCTCCTGAACTTGTAGAACGAGTTTATAGAAATCACATGAATTTTAATGTATATTTATTAATGCACTTGAACTTCTACTCAGATCACACTTGAAATCGTTTGCATGGACATGCTTATATTCCACCCCCATACAGTGGTGCCCCGCAAGACGAATGCCTCGCAAGACGAAAAACTCGCTAGACGAAAGGGTTTTCCGTTTTTTTAGTCGTTCTGCAAGACAAATTTCCCTATGGGCTTGCTTCGCAAGACGAAACGTCTTGCAAGTTCTTGCGAGTTTGTTTCCTTTTTCTTAAAGCCGCTAAGCCGTTAATAGCTGTTAATAGCCGCTAAGCCACTAAGCCGCTAATAGCTGTGCTTCGCAAGACGAAAAAACCACAAGACGAAGAGACTCACGGAACGGATTAATTTCGTCTTGAGAGGCACCACTGTACTGGCAGGTCACTCAAGCATATGTCTGAAATGGCTTTGTGTGTTTATGTTTGTGCTTGAATGGGATAGGGAGTGTGTTTGGGTGGGTTCAGAAGTGCTCTCTTGTTCTGAGACACAATGATGCACACACTAGTATAGAAATCTGGAAGTTATCCTCACAAAGTTCACTTAGAGAGAGAACCATCAAAATGGCTGTTGTGAGAGTAGGAAACTGGCAATACATTCTAACTAATTGGCACCTTGAATGCTCGGGCTTCTGAGCTACCACTGACAAGTCTTTGAGATATTAAATTGATCATTAGAAGTGGGATTTTTGCCCTGTGGAGATGAAGCCAAAATAATAATTCATTTAAGCCGAGCAATTCCTACAAGGCAACACACTGATAACAAAAGCTTTTCTGGTGGGCTGGTAACCAGTGGAAACTGGAGGCCCATGGAAAAATGTGTCTTTGTATGTTGGCTCACAAAAGTCTGTGCCTGTACTATTTCTTAATGCTAAGGGACAGGAGAAAGCCTGTCATAGAAAAGATGACAGTAATATAGTTGATGCTACATAATGACTACAAAAAGGAATCCGCTCTGCTCCAAACCAATTGTAAAAAGCAAGCACATGAACCAACAGTAGGAAGGGAAATTATGTCTGAAAGCGTATAGAACAGAACTGATTTCTTGAGAGAGAGACTGGTTCTAGTCAGTAACCAAAGGCAAAATGGAAAGGAACTGCTTAGAAGCTCACTGCTGCCTCCGAATCATTCCCATGGCATGGCATGGCTTGTTCCTTTCATTCACATGAAAGGAGATGGCTGAAACTCTGAGACTCAAAGGCTTTGGGGGAGCACTGCAAATCCAGGGAAGAGATCTGCAAAGGTACAGTGGTGCCCCGCAAGACGAATGCCTCGCAAGACGGAAAACCCGCTAGACGAAAGGGTTTTCCGTTTTTGAGTTGCTTCGCAGGACGAATTTCCCTATGGGCTTGCTTCGCAAGACGAAAATGTCTTGCGAGTCTTGAGATTTTTTTCGCTCCCCCCCTTTTTCTAAGCCGCTAAGCCGCTAATAGCCTTTTAGCAGCTAAGCCGCTAAGCCGCTAAGCCTTTAATAGCCGCTAAACCGCTAATAGCGCTAATCCACTAAGCCGCTAATAGGGTTGCTTCTCAAGTCGAAAAAACCGCTAGACGAAGACACTCGCGGAACGGATTAATTTCGTCTTGCGAGGCACCACTGTATCTGGCTTCTGCTCTCTTCAGTTTCCTCAGTAAGCACAATTAGGGGCTAAATTAATTCAAATCATCATAATAAAGATACCTTAACAACATTTGCTTTTCTTCATCACTGGGCCAGACAGGTTCTATGTGTTTGTTTTCTGAACCCAAATATATACATTTATTATTCCTGCTACACTCACTTCAGCAATGTACACAATGTGTGTGTATACAAATATACCTGCTGTAAATTTTTAAAATGTGGTTTGCTTGCGCAGTTTTCTGGTTCTGTGCAAATCTGAGGGATCAAAAGAAAAACAATCTTCCCTTTCAAAACTCACTGCTAATAGCTAAGAGCACAACCAGAAAAGAAATCAAAGAGCTGAGGACAAAGTGGCCGTGAAAAAGGGAGTAAGAAGAAGTGACAATTGATCCACCAACCCAAAAATACCGAAACAACATTTCTGAAGCCCAAAATGAAGCAGTTTGGAGCCAGATTTTCTCCAGTTTATTAGATTACTCCTGTATCAGGTAAACATTAAAGGAGAAATTAATTGGTCTTTGAGGGTAACATCATGTGGACTGTGCAAATCCAATGGGAACACAAAGACCTGCAAACACACAGTTCTAGCGTATAGGCTAATATCTCATGTACACAGCCCTGGGAGGAAGCCTCATTGCAAATCGGAATCTAGGAAACATGCATAGGATTGGGGTGACTACCTAAATTCTGATGAGGGTTTGTTGTTGTTGCTGCTGCTGCTGCTTTCCATCTGCATTGCCCAAGGCTATTTTATTACGTATTGGGTTGGATGGTGCAAGTGCCAATAGAGAGGATGTAAGGTTGATAGGGCTTTTTGAAGAACAACGTTATGGTTCTCATGAGTGCCTGCCTGCACTGCCTTCTGTGCACCAAAGGTTCTGTAAGACAAGTTAATCAAAGATGGGTGATGATACCATAGGCAATATC